TTATAAAGAGAATTTTTTAAATGTATTTTCACATACTTGAATTTAGTATAGCGCACACTGACTTTACCACTAAAAATAAAGATTTCGGTAGCATAGAAAATGCTAACAATAGTGTAATAGGTATATATGAAAATGTAAGTTTATTGTTATTTATTTACTGTTTATTTTTACTTTTTTTTTTTTGGTACTTATTATTGCTGTTTGTTTATTTAGGTAGAGTCAAAATATTAGAATCAAAGTTTTATTGTGCTATTTGGTTATTTAGGTAGTTAAAAGCACAATTTCGTTGAGAGTCATATTAAAAAGCTAAAAACGTCCATTTTCAAGACAATAGATTAATGAGAATGGTGATGGAAATGTTTTTATAAATTTTTGTATTTTTTTTTACAAAATTTTTTTTTATCTATTATCTTAAATGATTCGCCAAGTGTGGCTTATTTGGGTATAATGTTAAAATATAAGGTACATCAGATGGTTAATTTTTAATTTTGATTTCGTATATATAATAGCAAATATTTTGTTATTTAAAATTTAAAAACTTAATTAAAATTGATGTATTTAAAAAAAAGTCATTGAATCAACAAAAAAATAATAATATCGTTGCATTGCATTAAAAAATCGTTGCATTAAAAAATCGTGCATTAAAAAAAATTGGTGCATTAAAAAAAAAATCGATGTGTTGAAAAAAATCGTTGCATTTAAAATCGTTGCATTTCAAAAAAAAAAATCGGGGTTAAAAAAAAATTAGTGCTTTAAAACTAAATCGTGCACCAATGCTATACAAAAGTGGTCATCTAGATAGAATTCTTTAACGCTTGCATTAAACATCTAGCTACTGTGGCGTACCAGTTTGGTCAAATGCTATGTAACTTATATACTTATATATACATACAAAGAAATCTCTATTCTAGTACTGTAGTATCATGTTTTATAAAGTCTACTAGTTAAAAACATTTGCCACATGATGAAATATTTGTCGCATGGTGGAAAATCTAGAGGTACTATCACGAAGCATTTCATGATGATTTATCGCATTAATATAACCACGTTTTGTTTCATCTTTCATCATTTGTAAAGTTTGACCAGAAATAGTAAGATGATAGAGATGGTTCTCCAAGTCGTTAATAAGTTCCGGTGAGATTGGAGTTAGAGATTCTTTGTCAACTTCAAGCGACTCTTTTATGGTTTCTATTTTCTCGATATATTCTCTTCTTGAAGTTTCAAGTTCGTTAAGCACATCATTATTGTAAGCATTTGGATTGGCACCCTTTTTAATTTTTTCTTCATTTATGAAATGGTCCAAATAATCAATGTATGCATCATTAAAAGGAGCTATCGCATTTTGCCTTAGGAATAATGCAAATATCATCATAATGTTGTTTACGATCTTTTTTTCATCTTTCAGTTGTTTGATCCTTTTTTCTAGATCGTTTATATACTGCTCCTTTATAGTTTGGTCATTTTGTCTCTCATTGATTAAAAGTTTTATATTCTCATCAATTTTATCTACTGACACTTGTTCGTTCTCATAAGTAATATGCATATGATTATTCCAAGAACAACCACATACTTGACAATTCTGGGTTCCTTTCATTGCTATGCAACCTAAAAGAGCCTTATTGTTTATAACATTAAACTCAACACCTTGTAGATAACACCGTTTATGACAGTGAGTCACGTAGTTAATCTGTTTCATTCTTGTTTCACCTACAGTTAAAACTTTGATACAAGAAGCACTTGTACACACCGTTCTTGGATAATTTAACTGTATTGGTCTAAGATCAATTTGTGGAATGTGTAATTTGTCATTAAGATCAGCAATCATTGAATCATATTGTTTCATCTCTTCCCTTTTTTTCTTTGGCCAAAGCAATATTTATCTGAAGATTTTGACAAACTTCAGCAAGAGGTTTGGAAAGATCCATCACAATTTGTCTAGCGTTATTAAGTGATATAGTGTCCTTTATATTATGAGGAGAGCATGATTTGAAATATTGAATAAGCCTATCAAACTCATTTGCAGCTTTTTTCCAACTTTCGGCATAAATTT